TAAAGCACAAAATATCCGTAACCGTAACCGAAACCGGTATATTATTATTACAATATCCGTAACCGTATCCATAACCGAAACTACATATCCATAACATCCCTAATTGTAATGCACTTACAATTGGAGCTAATTGGGGTAGGTACTCCAATTGCGGGGCAATGATTTAGTCATAATCTAAATCACTGCCTTGCTATTGTCTTATGATCATTCCTTAAGTTTGGCCATTCCCTTTGGCCAAGGAGGGCGGGGAAGTTCCGCCTTGTAGGCCCCATCGCTGATAGTGTCACGGAGGTCCAAGACATCGGCCGGATACTCGTGACATCGCCACACGGGCGATGAAGTAACATCGTGGAGGTTTTACTGGGTATACCCCGTCATTTTCAGGACGAAACAGCGCCTTTTTCGGCGAGAGTCCCACACCACCCTGCCCCCGGCAGTGGAGTGACGGTGCTTCTGATGCCGGGAATATTTCGAGTAAAAAAAAAACAATAATGCAGTGGTTGACAGGGAACTCCAATGCCGAGACCGTTATCAAATTGTCACCTCTTCTAACTTGAAAAATCATTTATATTCTGTCCCATAATATAATTATTTTGTCATCTGCTTTGCATTTCGGTTGGATCCTCGATTTCGATTAATTTAGTTAGGTACTTGTCCTATGACAGTTATTATACCTGAGGCATACTATGCCTTAAACACTGAGTACACAGGGCAAGCCTGTTAAGCCTTGATTACACGTACCGAGCAAACGGGCGAGAGAGTGCTCTCGGCCGAGTACTCGGTGTGTATGAACATTTCGCAGAGTGCTCGGCCGAGCGCTCGAGTATGTGACTCGCTCACCCAACTGTGTCTACCGAGTAAACATTTTACTGTCTCGCCCGTTTACTCGGTACGTGTGATCAAGACCGCCTTAATTGCAATATTCGAACGTGTTGTTCTCTGATGATCACTTATGTATGGTTATAGTATCTATCGATCTGCCTAAGTCAACTATTTAACTTCTTTATCGTTTTTTCTTCACCATCGCCATCGTGATGAACCATTTCTGCTGTTGAAATTGTACAAATCTTAGTTAATAAGCAGGTATCATATTGTATCATAATTATCGTCAATAATCCATTATTATTCATATAAAATCGATTCGAAATATTTATCCTTATTTTATAGTGTAGGTACGATGATATTATGGGGTGATTGATCCAAATAAGTCGCCCATGACTATTAACATAGTCGGAACTGCAAAATTGCCATTTTCATTTTATTTCATAATTTGTGCGTAAATAATACAAGCTATCATCAGGTGAAACAAAAATTATGATTTTATGCATAGTTTTTGAGATAACTACATTAAAAATGTCGGATATTGCCTAGATAGTCCGTTAACAATGCCGGATAGTTGTTCCCGACGTATTTAGCGGTGCGCGGAGGCGGGTGAGCGCGTGCGATCTCCCACTTCTGGCTATGTTAGCGGGATGAACGGACGTCGTGTTGTCATTTGTTTTTTACGCCAGTTAAATTAAATATAAATAATTTAGAATGTAATACCAACTTGCATTAGCATTTCCTAACACATAACTTAAAATTGTAGGATGTACCATATCCGACATTGTTAATCTTATTTTTGTAACACTTTATGTCAGTAGTACCACATACGACGTTGTTAAGCTTTTCTTCGAATGGGATAAATGTCAGAAGTACCATATTCGACGTTGTTGAATGTTTCTTAAATAATTTAAATGTCGGTAGCTCCACATCCGACATTATTATAACGTTCTACAAATGGGTTAAACTTTCGGTAGTAACTTGTTAGCCATTGTTAGTTGTTTTGTAAAATACTAAAATGTCGCTAGTATCTTGTATGACGATGATTGACTGACTGTCTGACTGACTGTAAAATAAAATAAGCATGTTTGTTATAAATAATTTTTGTTCGCACGCATGAATTTGCAAATGTCTTTTTATGCCTTCTTTTATTTATAAACTATACTTTTTTAATTCGGGTCTTACATAAGGGTATTTCTTCGAAGGCAAAATTTTCGATGTCTTTGGGTATAGTTCTGTAACCAACTAACAAAATGGCATGCAATATTTTTATTCGTATAGCTTAGCTATAGCCCTATCTGGCGCAAATTACATTTTTTACATAATTGCTGTCTTTATACAAAATAAAAATATTTGAAGTGTGATTCTCTGATTCATATGGTGTGTCCGTTAGCCATTTTCCGGAACAAAATGGTTGATGTAGCATTTTCCTTTTGATATATCAATATAAATTAAAATTATTTCGAAAGCTAATGAGTTGTCCTTCTACAAAAAAAATGTGTCATAATTTTAATTAATATAGTTTGTTCGCAAAAAAATAAATAAGCAGTGTCCGGCATAAAATACTGATTCATATGGAGTGAGCTGTTCTTGATCATAACTGGTCAGGTTTTAATCATGAGAGTCTGGTTTCTGGCGTGGAGGCAAGCCCATCTTGCAACGGATGATCTAGAAGGCAGACGTGGAGCTGGTTGGCTTAGAACCCGGTGTGACGAAGGCAAATACTTAATTCATCTGTGCTTGGTTCAGGTGGCATACTGATTACAATGCCCACTTTATAAAATTACATTATTGCATTAAAAATCTAATCTGTCTTTCTTGTGATGCTCTTGGGTTATAGATTCATGTAGAAAAATGACAACACTGTAGTCTGTATGTATGACGAGTTTTGCTCGATTTTAGGCAAAAAACTGACTTATCTGTGCGTGATTCATATGTTCAGGGCCCTATATGAATCATAAAATAAATTAGTTTTTGGTCTTTCAAGCACCAAAAAAGGGTTTTTTAACTAAGAATGACATCCCAGACTGCATATCACTTAAGACCAGGTGCGATTGCGGTCTTGTTATGAATAAAAAAAACATTATCATTTGTGTTTAAAAACAATAAATAAGTAGTATATCCGTTAAGCTAGCAACCATAACACAAGCATATTTGTTGCTTATTTTGTAGCTATGGCGCTGTATGAAATTGCCCAACGATTTATTTATTTTTATTATTATTTCAGCTACACGTCCATAGCACATAATAATATACTGCTGAGCAATGATTTCGAGATTAACTGATTGCCATTGCCACAACCTCTATAAGCTCATCTCACCTTCTTCACCTTGTAGGTGGACGTCTTAACAACAATAGCTTGGATAAGTGATACTGCTCGGTAGAGTCATCTAAAATACCTTAGTGCCTTAAGATGAAAGTCTACATCCAGTGTGTGTTTATCAGTGATGACAAATTGTACTGAAAAGCGGCTTCTCACTGTAGGCTTACGAACCACAAAGTTGAATAGTGTACTATGGACTACTATGGAGTGGACTATGCTTGTTTTTTTTATGCAATCGAATCTGAAATGAGGAGATCCGTAAACGATCTAAAGTCGCATGGTGGCATAGTCCGATGTTTTAGCAAGCTGAAGTGATAATGGGCAGGACACCATAGTATACAGAAATGATGGCCGATGGGATACCACGTTTCTGGAGTGGAAGCTACGTGCCGGAAAGCTCAGTGTAGAACGTCCTCCCACAGGAAGGCGCAGGATGCAGGCTGCTACCAACCGGTCATTATGGAAATCATTGGGAGAGGTTTATGTTCAGTTGAAATGATTATGATGATGACAAAATATTATGGATGTATACTAGTTTCAAAAAAATGTTTTTTCACGAATTATTGNGACATAATACTTAACTCAATAGCTCCGAAGCCCAGAGGTAGAGCATCACTAGGGCTATCCAAATCACCCACATGTATGTTCCGCGATTTTTTATAGTCTTCGAGTTATGATTGTTTTAAATTTCTGTGCTTAGGCACTTTTTTGGTCACTGTGACTCAAATAGTCAAGTCACATGGCTGATATTTTAATTATTATTAGATGAATACAAGGCCTAGCTAATTCAGAAGTATTTACATCCATAACAGAAATGAAAACTAAAATCCTGTATGTTGTAAAAAAAATCATAACTCGAGAACTATCAAAAGTCACGGTGATTTGGGTAGCCCTAGTGATGCTCTACCTCTGGGCTTCGGCTTGAAACTACTTTTTGGGACATCCTGTAGATAATTTCTATAGATTTTTTGTGTTTTTTTCAGTAATTTTTACATACGACATACGTATAATCCTAAATAAATAATTAAACAAGGACGTAAGTGGCATTTCCGACAAGTAATCACTAATTTCGTTCAAGCAACAATGTCGGTTCTGGTAGATATGACAAATCAGCACTAGTATAACTCCGTTAAAAAGGTCACAAGTGACTTTTCTCATATTTACACATTAAATACCGGGTACTCATAATATTGTCCTAAACATAAATAACTTTCATAGTAATACTCTAAACTTTCATAACCCTGCCTAAAATAAGTACAAAAATATGAGCAATTTAAACTTTGAAACGCTCTCCTGTAAAGTTGCTGTTTTTCACATCCGACATTGTTAATAGTCATGGGCGAAGTAAACACAGTCATCTATTTTTTCTGTAAAGAATATTTAGTACCTACCTAATTAAGATTTGTATCGCACAAATTAATTACTAATAGTCCCGTTAACCCCTCGTGCTATGCTAAATATATGCTAGGGATGTTTCTTGGGTAAAAAAGCAAGAGTTTGAATTAGTCCGTCAGTTAACATAACAAAAATACTCGATACGTATTTTCACTTTTTCAAACTAATGAAAATTGAAAGAGATAAAGCGCGCCAAAGTTCATAAGAAGAGGCCCGTGACGTCAAGGCGTGCTTAAAGTGTAGCAACGTGTGACGTCACGCGGAACTTCAACGCACCGTAACATCGTAATGCTTGTTTGATTAACAAATAAAAATTTACGTGTCCAATATTTTTTGATAATGTAATTGACGGACCAAAAGTTTCTTTAGAAAACTAGCCTATTGGCGGGGTTAAGAAGTCAGTTTTATTTGTATTGAAAAATAAAGATAGGTTTATGAAGTGGATGTAAAAAGACATTCATTAATTGGTCAAAAGTTTATTGCACATGTCAGGTGAAGATGAGTCTTTTAGCCAAGGAGAGATGCGGCGGCTCTGACAGGGGCAGTCACGACGTGTGCGGCGCCATGGGCGGCGCCCTGGACGGCGTGGGCGGCGTTGTAGGCGATGCTGCGAGCGATGGCTTCAGGCACGGGGGGGGCGACGGGCAGATGGTTTCCCTGCAAATAAAAAGTGTCATTATCATCATAACTTCAGCCACAGGACGTCCACTGCTGAACATAGGCCTCCCCCAATGACTTCCACATCGCACGGTTGGTAGCGGGCTGCATCCAGCGCCTTCCTGCTACCTTTATCAGGTCGTCGAAAAGCCGAGGAAAAAGTTTGAGAATTAATAAATATGGCCGACAAAAAGATATGGACATTGGACAACGCTATCCATATATTTTTTTAATGTTGGATCGATTTCGTTATTGACGTCAAAAACTTAAATTGAATATGTATTACAGAAAAACTAGCTAGAATAAAGAGCTTTTTTAAACAGTGCCTTGGTAAATTGTAAAAGCTTTCCATGTTTATGTCCATTAATTGCCACTCTTCACTCTGCTGCTTTCTGAATCATTATTTCAAAGTAAATCAGTACACATTTTTAATCTCTGCATGCCTGTAGTTTGAATCTTGTGGAACATGTACGATTGACTGGCCTATGCTTCTGCGATTACATTTCAAAATCCGAGGTGCCCGAGGCACCCTCTGAAAATCAGTGTCCACTATCCAGCTATACGCTCTCAGCTGGTGGGATATACTGAGGCGTAATTTTTTACCCAGGAAAAAAAGCGGGTGTCGTTTTGGCACTTGGTAATGTCTCTATCTTTTTTATATTTTTTGGGTCAAATGATGTCCCTTGCACCTGATTATTATAGACATGGTAGTCGGTCAATAAACGCCATTTATACAAAAAAATTATCACCTGGGGTTGGTAACCGTACTCGTTGGCAACATAGCTGATCTCGTAGGGGGCGCCGTCATCGCCGGTGTATTTGTAAGCACCGTTAACTTCGAGAGAGGGCTCGTCCTGCAAAAAAATAAAGAATAGGTATAATTCAACGTCAATCCTACCACCTACCACACCACAAAACGAACACAAGTCTACGATAGGTATTGTCACTACTTTGTTTATTAAATTAAATACCTATTTTAGTAACCATACAAAAATGCGTAGTTAAATTCAGAGTACTGCTCCTGAAGCAATATATTGCTACATACTACCTACTGCCGTTATTTCTATTTATTTTAACCGGCAGACAGTGGACTGGTGACTGAGTTTGTTGCGGCGCTTCTTCTCAGCACTGCCAAATGTTGGTTTCGAAGCGTAAGTAAGGTAAAAAGATTATGAGACACGTAGAGGCTCCTAAAGAGCAAATAATAAAATAATAATTGACGATTTGTAAGTACTATTTTTAATAGCCTATGCAAATAAAGGAATGTTGACGTTGACTTTCAAAAACTCAGTCCCTATTGTCAGCTTTTTTTAAATTGCCTTATTTAAATAGGTACATACGGAGTTAGGGTTCTTGACAACACCGGAAGCTTGGCCGTAGATGCCGTTGGAGGTTTCGTACGCATACTGGAAGCTGCCTTCAGGCTGAATTTCGTAGTTTGACTTGACGACGGCGGCGTTGAACTCGTTACTGCCGACGTGAGATACGTCAGCGCTGGCCGCAGCCACGATGGCGAGAACGATAAGGAATTTCTGGAATGAGTTGATAAAACGCTTTAGAACATTCACAATTTCGAACCAAGATTGGACCGATCTCTTCCTGGTTACGATTGGGCTAACACGCCTTGAGTAGATCGTTTCATCCACGAAGACGCGCCCCACCATTCTTCCGCTAATGTTTGAGTGTTATCGGTACACGCTAAATTATCCATGAGTGCACACGCACACTACAATAATGACGCTCGGATTGCTCGGATCAAACTCCCCGCACCCCGCGCTTCTCTCAACCAAAAATTGGCGGGCGCGTCTTCGTGGATGAAACGAACTAGCGTCACAAGCAGGTGTGACAAAGCTGTTTTCACTTTCACACCACTGTTCATGTTTTTGTATCGTTATCAATATTCAGAAATGATAGTTGTTTATCAACGAACTATGTCATTTCTTCTTTTACAGTTTTTACCTTCTCAAATTCTATATGATTCAAAGATGTATGGTTATTTAGAAGAAAGTATATCCGAACATTAGACTTCTTTTTTATCAAATAAAAATTTAAATACCGGATATTCGAAAATGAAAGAAAATTTCTCAAAAATATTTTTGTAAGTATTCAAATCTGTTGGATTGAAACTAAAGCTTTTTTAAAATCATATTTTTACTTGAAAATCAATCAAGTTTCGCTTTCATTTGGGTTTTTAAAAGTAAAATTGCTTTTTCCTCTTACCATTTTGGTTTGGGTTGCCGGATCTGCTAATGCAAAACTGATTTACAAATTTTAATCTCGATCCTTATATACTAGTGATCTTTAGAATTTAGATGCGACTTTGGGTCTTGTTTTAAAATAGCCTGTTTTGACTGGCCTGCATTGTTGCCAAAGACTACGTACTAGGTACTAGCGACCATTTTTAAATTTATTTGTTTACCATTATGTTGCGAGTAAAAAAAAAATAGTAGTGAATAGAAATATTTTACCTTAAGGTACATGTGGAAATGGGACAACAAACGTACGAAGTCGCACGTAACACGTTAGTTACAACTGTTTAAATATTCTTGAATTATTTCTTGATTATTATGTTAACATCATCAAATAAATTATAATATAAAATGTATCATCCGCCGTGTCATGAGTTTGGTAGGCAGTGTAGGCATAATATGCCATAATATAGATATGGGGACTTAAAATATTCTTTGACGATACTCCTATTATTATTTCAAGTGATATTTTACCTAAAAGCCGCACCTCGCTGTACCCAGGATGCTTCTATGTGACCTCAAGGTCAATTCATTTGAAAGGTTACGAAGAAGTTGTCAGAATATTATGTTAATTGAACGTTTAATTACTTGACATAAGTGCCTTTTTCCTGTGATGCGGATTTCCACAGATTAGAGAGACCAGATCCGCACGCGTGCCGAAATCCGCATTACAGGAAAAAGTACTAATACAAGGTGAATTTGCAATCAGTGTCCAAATTTTTAGGGACGACTCAGAATCAGTAACTAAATCGATTTACGTAAAGAAAACATTTTTTTTTTTTTCAATTATTTTTATCTACTGCGGGCGGTTTCAAAATCGGCACGTGGATAATTTACTTTTTCATAAAAAATACGTACATACACTGTAAAGCTTAATAGACATAATGGTGTGCAATAATAAGCCTTAATAATAAAGATAAAGTAGTACATTATTAAATTGTACTATTAATAGAGCTTATTAAAATTTGGCTACTGTTTACAAAATCAATCAACCTGTATTATGGAGAAAGTTTAGCTATTTATTGAAATCGTTTATTTTGTATGAAAAACAAAACAGCTGCCGCTACGGTTGTGTCAGGAATACAATATACGATTTACTATAGGTACGATTACGAGTGTTATTCGTGCTCAGGGTACTGTGTTGCTTCTGAGCCACAGAGTGGATTCTCTTTGCCTAGCAAAAACTAAAAATGGCAAAATTGAATTTTTACATTCAATAATGCCTTGGCCCTGTCTTCAAATAAGTAGCGTGAATAATTTACTTTTCCCAAGAGAAGGGAAAATCATCCAAAAAAAACTACCTTTTCATACAAATTTTCATCAGTAATCAGCTAACCAATCATCATCATCACTTACTCACTGTTGAAGATAAGTTTCCATTAATAATTTAGCCCCTTCCTTTATGAGGTCGTCGGTTCACCATGTGGGTGGATGTCCCACGCTGCGTTTTCCCGTAAATCAATATGGGGAAGTATTTTTTTGAGAATTTGCATATATTATAGTCCTGTACAAAAGTTGTCGCATTTGAGCGATATAATAATCAATCCTTTTGGTTGATCATCTACCCATGAGTCACCCTGTAAACTAAGTATACGAGTATTATGGTGTCGCGTCAAATCCCGTAGGTAATTATATTATAAAAAATAATTCAGCAATAACATTAATAATAAGTCTATCCGTGGATAATGGCGTCTCAATATTTCTTTTTATTTCTTTAAACAGGTACTTTAGGTACCTACTTAAGCTTTGCTTAGTTTGAGTATAGAGGGGCAGTGTAAAAATGAATGTGTAATTTATTTATATTTCTGCTGATATCTATCTTAAAGTTATGACCATAAAATTGGCATTAAATAGACACTTTTTTGAAACTAGTATTTAATGTTATGCCAAGTGAATTCATTAAAAACCGGCCAAGTGCGAGTCGGACTCGCGCATAAAAGGTTCCGTACGACGCTCTTGTTATTGTATGGACTTAGGCCGAGTTGCACCACCTAACTTTAACGGTAACTATGACGATAACCGGTGCTTTTTGTATGGAGTCTGACAGATTTTTGACGTTTGTCAAAATTAAAGCACGACGGTGCAACCCAGCCTTAAATATTTATTTCAGTTTAATCATTACAACTGGTTAAGAAGACACAGTGATTACCTTGATGTGCTATCGACAGTTTTATTTGTCTAACGCCCGTTTCCCATATGGTTCCCGTTTCCCATAGGATTGAACATAGAAAACCAGCATAAATCAACATAACCTGTGCTAACTAGCAGTGAAAAATAATTTAAGGCAAATGTGTTACTTATTTTGTTTGGATTATGTGCTTTATGAATGATGCTGTTTCCATAATAAATAAAATAATTTAATTGTTTTTTTTTTAATTATTATTTCATACAACTAAATATTCTGCGAATATTTCAAGCAGCTACCTGAATTTATTTTATTTTGTTTTACTTTTTAGTATTTGTTGTCACAGTTGCAGAACAACAGAAATATATTTTTACTGTGAAATTTCACGGTTTATGAGATACAGCCTGGTGACAGATAGATAGATAGAGGTCTTAGTAATAGGGTGCCGTTTTTATCCTTTGGATAAAGAACCCTATAAATGATTTAAAAAGGTCAAACTTTTACATTCAGCTCGATAAATACTCGTATCAGGTGAGATACAGGCCAAGAGCTTCATCGTTGTCGTTGAAAAAAAAACTCACTTATAGGTAGACAATAACGCGTATTCTTATTTGATAAGATAAATAAGTTTATCCTAGAAATTTTCCCAATCCTGAACGTATTAGTTCGTCTCTCCGAGCATAGAGCTACAAGATTTGATAGTTTATACAGTATAAACTCTGAGCATTTATCGACGTTATAAAGAGTGGTCGTTAAATGTCGTTAAATGAACGTTATAGATAGAGGATAGAAAATAGAGTAATTATTCCAACAAAGTCAAGACGATGTTATAAGGAGTTTGTCGTTATACATATAAAGAGTTTACACATTTGACTTTGACTTTGACTGCACATTCAGATTATACCTGTTATAATATCACCAGTATAACGGCATTACGACTACAAAAGAAGCCACAATGTTTAAGCTGATTTGCAGTGTCTGTGCAATACTAGTGAGGGCCCGACTTTTTCATTCACCCACTCTACAGGATGTTAGACGTTTCGCAAGCGACAGCATCGCTACTAACGCGCGTTAGTCGCATTTGCAACGCACTACAGAAGTGATGCCAACGCGCTACTAACGCGCTACAGCAGCGCGACCGCATCGCTACAAAATGTCGCCGTAAGCCTTTTAAAAATGAAGAGTCAAAAGTGACAACTCACAAACATTCCAGATTTTCTGATTTTTTCCAGGTTTTGATAACCAAACTGAACTGAAGAGTCACAATTTAAGCTATTTAACTATCAATTTATTTATTGATATAAAATATTATTGAAGTCCTTGTTAGATTGTGATTTCGATAATTTTACTTTATCTAGTTATTATTAACGCCTTTCATAATAAAAATGTCATTCATTAAATTAGCTTCGCATAATTTAAATTAGATTTTTAATGGCTTTCATTCATAAAGTAGCTTTTAATTAATTATTCAATATTATTAAAATAGCCACCTTCACATCTCCGCAGTGACACCACGACAGCGAATCGATATCCATATGACGTCAAATTGTGTAGGTACTCCGTTAGATTATAATATGACGTAGTTAGATTACAGTCTGACCTAACCTAACCCACTCTTATAAGCGTTATAGTATTAAGACCCGGTTGAGTCAACATGCGCGTAACTGTTGTTTGAACCTGTCTCTTGAATCACTCTAAAAGATACTTTTATTTTTTTTTAAGATCTAAGCATACAAACTTTCTGAGCGACTTTGTTTTATAATTATGTAGGGGAAGCCCGTGCAAGAAGCGGTGGGTAAGATGAATACTCGATTTTACTAAAAACCTACAACACATGGCGCTACTGGACGTTTGCGGGTCTGTAAAACAGCAACACAGCCACGCAATGATAGTTCCACCAAAACAATACGTGCGTGAACTTTTTGTCAATTCGAAATCAAAAGTTTTTGGCTGTTTTCTTACGATTTTTGGCAAGGTATGTGTGTTGATTTCTTGTATTACGTATTAAGTGTTGACTTATAATAGACTGTTTAGTTGATTGCATGTTAAATTAAGTTTAATTTGTGTGTGTTGCTTTTTTTCACTGGTAGAAATTTAACGGGTGGGCATAAAATTTTTAAATATTGGTCCTTTGGGCAAGATGGATATGGGCAGGACGGATGGGTAAAGACAGCCATAACTGAATTAGATTAGATAACATCTGAAAACAAGAACTTTCAAACAAGACTTGTCAAGGGGAAAAATGACCAAAAACAAAAATCAGATGGAGAAAACAAAATATTTATGTTGTGTGCTCAGAAGAATACACTGAACCACCTACCGAGGATTGGATAGAATGCAATCAATGCAAGAAGTGGGCACACGAGGATTGTACGTTATATTCAGACATAGGCAGTTATTATTGTGATGATTGCAATGATTAAAGCAGTTATTACTGAACATATCCGTCTTGCCCAGGGGGGTCGGGCAAAATGGAATAATTGGATCTTTTTTTTTAATGACATTTTTATTGTAGAATTTGTTTAAGTTTCTAAGTTTATTCTTTACAATTCCAAAGATTACCTAAGATACAAATTAATTAATTAATAGACTGTTGTTGATTCCATATTTATGTGGTTTTTTTGCCACTTTTCTTAAGGTACCCGTGCTGCCCGGGCTTCCCCTACTAAAGTACTAAGGATTCTATGGAATATAAATTCCCAAGAACTCATTAATCCTACCATTGCAACAAAATTAAATGACAGTGACAACAAATATGCGCAGGACCGTTCATTGTGGAAAACCTTGGGGGAGGCCTTTGTCCAGCAGTGGACGTCATTTGGCTGAAAAGAAAGAAAGAAGAAGAAAGACAACAAATAACCATTATCTCGTTTCAATTGAAAATGTTATACTTATGGCTAGACTAGCCCTCATCTCATCTCTAAGGACTCAAATTGTTTCT